GCGCGGCCTTTGACCGCCCCAAGACAGAGCGGTAGATTGTCGACCAACGCCAGAACCCGTGAACCTCGGGCAGCCCCAGATCGGAGGATATGTCGGTATCCCAGGACCAAGGCGTCGCCCTCGAGTTCGAGAATGTTAGACCTATGCCTTACTCTGGTAGCTATAACAGTATTCCAATGTTTGTCGTCCATAAAATCTTTGCTAATCTCGTCGAAACTTACAGCTAGGTCCTCAATGTTAGTCACCCTTGTTGTATCGGCCCGGCTAGAACTGAAACCGCTCCCAGAACCAGCCTCCAGAGGTGTCGTGGATCCCATCCCAGAAGAACTGAACACAGGCCCACCAACCACGTCACAAGCCACAGCCCCAGTCCCAATCCCAGAAGTACTGATCGTAGCCCCAACCTCCCTGTCACACTTCATACCTCCCCCTTCGGGTCCCAGTACAGTAGGAGCAGGGTGTCGGTCAGGGGCGAAGCTGGAGTCGGAGAGGGCGTGATTCCTAGCGTCGATGCACTGCTCAACCTTGAAGCGCCATTTTTCGGATACTCGGCCAATGGCACCGATCTCGGCTGAATCAGCCCGCCGTGTACACACGCCCAGCCCGAACGGCGAGGCGTCCGTGGCGAGCACAGTGGGATGCCAGGGCGCCGTCCAGCGCACACACAGGAGTGGCAGAAGACACCTGATGGTCCAAAGTTCCCGGCGTACCGCAGGCCAGAGCTCCGCGACCCCCGGGCCGTTTTTGGTGACATACGCATAGCTGCACTGTAAAATACTGTAAACTTCACGTCTGATCAGGCCCGCCCAGGTGATGTGTCCCAAGAGAGGCCTGAGTAGGTGCCCGCTGCAACGCCTCCGTCGCAGCAGCGCCTCGATGGCAAACCTTAGACGCCACAGATTACGATGCTTTATTGAAAGTCGGTCCCCGCCTGACAGTTGGAGACCAAGAAAAACAGCGTCCTGGGCCCCGGACTCCACCTCATGCAAAATAAGCCCCTTCTCCTCCAGAGACCTCCTGATGTCTCCCAAAACCACCTCGGTAGTCGATTTGTCCCTCCCAACCGTCAGCACATTGTCAACATACCCCGCAACGGCAACATCCCCCCCTTTCACTTCCACAGCCGGTAGACCGTCCAGGATGACCAGGGAGGTAGGAACCTTAGACGACGAAATAGTGTGACGAACGACGCTCTGACATAGTAAGAGTGACCAAGACCAGCCCATGGGGAGAACACAGAGCCTGGGGGCGATGACTGTATCTGGGTGGAGTCGTTGCCCGTTCAAAAACTTCAATCCCAGGTGTCGGGCGGCCGTGTATGGCAGCCGAAAGTAGCGCCTGAGAAACGATGGCAAGCCCATCCTGTAAAAAGCTGCGTTGATATCGCCCGCTGCAACGAAGACCGGGCCGTCGGTCTCGACCTGGCTGAGAGAAGATGCAGTAGGTAGTCGAGTGGAGAGTGGGTCCTTGAACGAGTAGTTACACACCCTGGTATCGAATATAACCCGAATTTTACCGTCTTTTTTGGCCACGAAAAACACGCCGATAGTGTGGGTATCCTTTGGGGCCAGGGTCCATTCGAGCATCCCGCGGTCGCACAAGAGGTGGAGGAAGTCGGAGTAGGCGGTGGGGTTGTTCCTCAAGAAGGGGTCCACGTAGGGTTCCGCGGGACCCAGTTCCTGATGAAGGGAGGTGGCCTCATTAGCGTCCCTGAGCAAATTCACCTGATAGTTGCACAACCAGTCCGAGTCCCCGGCCGACAGCATATTTGTCACACATGTGGCATCTATCTGGTCGGGAAGAGCAAGTAAGCTCCGATTGTACGGCCTCCTGGTGGACCCTACCCCGTCGTCATAGAGTCCTGAGGCTGTGCAGATCTCACGTAAAGATCCCGCACCTGGAGCCAGATCTGGTGGAGGCGCAGAGATGGCAGCGTAGCATTCGCGAATATGTCGGAGGGCGTCGTTCTGACCAGCATTAGTAACGGTGACCTGGCCCTCCGTAGGGGCCTCCCCAGACATCTGATTCAGACAAGCAACCCCGTCGTTGGCCCAATCCCTGTAATACTGAACCCGACGCCTCCGACGCTCCGCATTCCGACAAGGCTGCGCTGCCCCCTGGCACTGCCTCACCTCCTGTGGCAAAAAAGGCAAAGGGAAAATGTCACGCTCGCGAGCATCCCTGGTCGCTGGACCGGGCTCGCGCCTAGGGCCAGGCGTCGGGGGGGCAAGAGAGCTCTGGCAAGCGGCGGCGCCATGGTCCAGGACCGAGGGTGGCGCCAGCCCAGGGGGGGGGGAGATATGTACACGAGTGAGGCCGGGCGGCACAGAGCGTGGCCCGACTTCGAAGGCCCCTGAAAGATGGGCGAGCGGGCGGCCTGGTCCCGCCGCCCGTGGATGATCAGCCATCATCCTTGCTGTCCTTCTTGGGGTTCTTCTTGTTATGCTTCGCGCTCTGTCTCTCCTCCCGAGCCTTCCGCCTCTCCTTCATGACCGAGACCTCCTTCTGCAGCTCGCTCGACACCCAGCTCTGGAGGGATGGGCAGACCGCGACGTTGCCGCGGACGTGGTCGAGGCCCATATACAAGAAGGCGTCCTGCACGCCGTCCGAGCCTCCTCCAGCTATGCTAGGCATCCTGTCACGATGCCTCTCCTCGGACAGCTGGATCGTCCGAGACATGATCTCGGCCGCCGCGATGTCGGGGAGGTTTAACTGGTCGTAGGTGGCCATACTCTCCAACATCTGGCAGCACATGAGGTGCTGCTCGACTCCGCCGTCGTTCACCTGCAGCTTGGCGTCGGCCTTCCATCGAGCATGGCGCCCGAGGGGCGTCTGGCCGTTGGCCACCATGAACCGACAGAGCCACAACGTCGTGCGGGGCCCCCGCACTGGAAAATCATTCACGGGCGTCTCGACCATGCCCTCCACGGCGAGCCTGAATTCCCTGAAGCGGGCCCCGCTCACGTCCTGCTGGATCGGCTGCACACGGATGTCAACCGTCGGGAACGCGGCGACCGTGGGGGTGGCGGCACCAGGGGCCATGGCGGCGGGCACCAGCACACCGCCTGCGCCGATGGCGGGGGGCGGTGCGACGGCCGCTGCGGCGGCACCCGGCGCGGCCGCTCCCGGCACTGCGCCCGCGGCGGCGCCAAGGGCCGCGCCTCCGCCAGCCACGGCACCGCCAGGTCCGCCGCCAGGAGCGGGACCAAGAGCAGCTGCCAAGGCGCCAGCACCTCCACCCAAGGCCGGCACGACGGCCTCCGCGGCGGCGGCGGCCCCGGCGGGGGCGGCTCCGACCGCGCGCCCGACCAGGTTGGGCTGCTTGCCGTCGAGCGGCACCGCCACCCCCCGCCGGGCAGCCGCTCGGGCACGGGCGGCATTGAACACCGCGGGTGTGGGTACATTCTGAAACCGATAAACAGGCAATACAGCGCCACCAGGTCCAGCAGGAGGATCACCTCCACAGGCCCCTAAGGCCATCAATCCGAACGACATTACATCTGCACCATGAAGCCAATCCTCGTCGTACTCATCTCCATCTGGGGTGAGCACGCTCACGGTCGAACCAGCGCCAGGCTCGATGAGCACGAGCCGCTCGTGAAAGATGGGCGGACCTGGCACGTTATACTGGATAGCTCCGAAATCACCAGCCTCGATGCCGAGGCTCTGCACTGGAATAGGGGCCGCCATCACGCCGAATTCTTGCGCCGCTGCCTAAGAAGATTCAGCTGCTGGAGCGCAACCTTCTCTACGTCGTCGGTGAACGGAGCAAACCCAGCAGCGGCGGCGGTCGATATGGTCGGCGTGGTCCGAGCCCCGATCACAAAGTACTGCACCACCAACACTCCGAGCGCTCCGACGATCGTGCCAACGAAGAAGAGGGTCGGCCCGCTCGGGCTCGCTGGGGTCGTGTACTCCTGAGGCAGAGAACCTTCCGCACAGGCCAGCGTCGGTGAGCACTGACAAACGCAATCCGGGCAGCCGACTGTGGATGCGCGGACTGCGAAGGAGGTAGAGAGTCCCCGCGCAATCTCAAGGACCAGCTCGTTCATGGGAGCCTGGGCCCCCAAAAAGCTTGAGCCGCAGTGTCATGCGGCCCCGCTCACCCCTCTCCCACTTACTGTATTTAATTCAGACATTATCATCATTCGCATCAGTATCCTCATCATCATCACCACCAACATCGTCAACAGCATCATAATCATCATCGTCATCATCATCAGCATCATCATCGTCATCGTCAACATCAGCATCACCATCATCATCGTCGTCATCATCACCACCATCACCAACACCATCGCCATCGCCATCGCCATCGTCATCAGCATCATTATTCTCATCAGCATAATCATCATTATCATCCTCATCCTCACCCTCATCATCACCATCATCATCATCATCGTCATCGTCATCGTCCTCGTCAACACCATCCTGATGATGATGATCATCATCATTATCGTCGTCAGCAGTATTGTCATCATCATCATCACACTTATATGTTTAGCATCGGCATCTTCACATCAACCATCACCACCATCATCATCATCATCACAACCATCAGCATCATCATCAGCATCAACATCAGCATCATCACCATAACCATCACCATCCTCAGCATCATCATTAACACCACCATCATCATCAGCAGCAACAGCACTCGCCCGCATGAGTCACGGATCTGTAGCAAAAGGCTCCTCTCGTCATCGCGCCAACTCAGTGCTGCCAACAAGTTGCGGGTGGGTGGGTGGGACACATGCTCGAGCAATAGAATTGACGACGAGCAGTGGAGCTCACGACTCCATGCTTTTTCTTGACACGGTGGCGGTGTATAGATGGTGGGCCTACTTTTCACTTCCACGACTATAAGCCCATGGCGACTCACCTCTGGTAGTGGTTTGCCGTGCCAGGCGCCGACTGCGCCAAGCAAAGCACAGGTGAACCGCCCATGGTGTACAGTGATGGTGGTGAAAAAAAGGGACCAAGCTATGCCGCGGATCCACCGCGGCCGCGGGCTTCGGAGCGCGGCGACGGGACGGGCTCGGCGCGCACAGCAGCTCCTCGATGCTGGGTGCCCCGGCGCTCCGGGCGCCGATCGGGAGCTTCGGCGCCGGGGCGGACTGGCCGGAGGCGACCGGCAGCGACATCGCTGGTGCAGGTAGGGGGCCACCTGCGAACCCTACCCCTACCGCCCACGATTTCTGGGGGGGTGGGGTTCCCTTCGTTCGAGAGCTCCCGAACGAAGTGAGACCCACCCTCACCCTCAGAAATCGTGGGGGGTAGAGATATGGTTCGCCTGCGGCCCCCTAGCAGGATGGGGGTGCGGCTGCGCAGGGTGTGGGCGGAGCAAGGGGCCGCTCGAGCCAGGAAAAGGCTGTCGAGCGGTTCAGCCAGGAGCAGAAGAGGCCAGCACGCGCCCGTCGTCGAGGCCAGCCGCTCCTCGGGGTGATGAGCAACCAGCGCCGTGGGAAGGGGTGGAGAGGTGAAGGCGGCTTGTCTAAAACGAGATGAAAGCTGTCGGGTGTCTGGGGCGCCAGGAGAGAAGAGAGACAAGCAAGAGTGCGTCCAAGTCGCCCCGAACGCGAACGCTTTTGGAAGAAAAGAAGATTGGAGGGGAGGGGCCGACCACCGAGCCGCTATCGCGGCGGCTTGCCCTTCCGCATCCTCTTGATACGGTGCTTATGCACCCCTAGGGTCGGGGGGTGATCCGAGGGGCCCCGGGGGCAGGAAGAGGAGGAGCGACCACCACACCTGTTCATCTCACTTGGCGATGCCATGACCCGCCTCGTTCAGAACGAAAGCCGCATCAACATCTCCGCGCGGACTTCCTGGATCGGCGCTGGACACCCCTCCCTGGCGCGCGGAGCGCGCCAGCCGGACGCGATCCAAGAAATCCGCGCGAAGATCCAACAGTGCATGCTTATGCAGTTGTTTGTTCTTCGACCGCTGGCTTTGGTGAAAACCTACCAGGCCACCCAAACACGACCCGAAGACCCGTCGGGTTGGTGTGGGGGGGGGGTACGGGTTCCATCTGTGTTTTCTCAGCGTTCATCGACACCCCCACACTGGAATGGAGGGCACATTGCGGCCTTCGGTTTGGGTTGGGGTGGTTTGGTGGGTGGTGGCTTATGGCCTCCTCGGACTCCCACAGCAAAGGAATTACGCGTAGGGGCACATGAGAGAAGGCGAAGGCCAGGCAATCAGCAGCCCACCCTGCGGCACCCCGCCGCCCGAGCTGGGCTCCTGCTTGGCTATTTTCATGATCTGCTCGTCGATGATGACGCCTCGGGGCAGGGAGCGCCCCGCTACAAGGGCGCAGATTTGCAGCCAGCGTCGGGGTTGAGACGCACTCCGTGACTTAGCCGCCGCGATAGTAGCGTGTTGACACGGAGCTCAACACGTACACTCTTGCCCCGAGTTAAATTAATTGTCAGTCTAGAAGATGGACTTCATTCGGGGCGTTCTCTTGAACAGTAGTCCAGGTGCAGATACACGAACATTCTCAGGCACACACTAAACTCCAAGAAAACGACCAGGGTCCAGGTTTTTCTTTCAAGCCGGATCTGGTGCCCACGAACAACCATCTGCTTCTACGTAAAAACTTCTGATGGGTGTAGACTAGGTCTGGCGCGAGACGAGTTACGCTTCAACACGAGCGTATCAGGGCAGCGAAGCTCCGTGACGCCCACGCATCCGAAGGAATGGTCGTCCGATCCTGGCTGCTTTCCCTGATCCCTCGGCCTCCAGGGGACTTCCTCGGGCCCTGGGGCACAAGAGGCCTCCCGAATGGGATCCGAGTGCGGCCGGACCTGGGACGGAAAAACATTCTAGAGCATGAGACCCACCGCCGGCCCAAACTGAAAAGCATTCGAGGGTGCCCTCCCCGGGGATTCGCAAGAACATCCGACAAACACGAAGAACATTAGGGTACCCTCCCGAACCGACCTCGATCTTATACCTCGGGCCGACCGTAGATGGGGTCGGAGGATCGCGCCGCATCGCCAGTGCATCACCGATGCATTGGCGCCGTAGGCGTGGAGGAAATCGGATACTCCACATCGAGCCGCACCGCCGATGCATCGGCATTGCGGCGGCGATCCTCCGACTCCAGCTGCTCTGACCCCATCTGGGGGGCCTGGAGAAAGTCCAAGATGGGCTTGGGAAAGAAGGAAGCACTGATGGACGAGGAGGAGGAGGAGGAGGAGGAGGAAGGAGGAGTGGAGGAGTGGAGGAGGAGGAGGAGGAGGAGGAGGAGGAGGAGGAGGACCAGTGCAAAATCAAGAGTCATCAACGATGTTGGAATTAACCCTCCCTCCAAGCTCCCTCTTCATAGGCCCCCCCCCCAAAAGGTTCATGTCCATTGAAGGAAGTGCTTCCTTGGAGGACAGCTGTTTGAAGATACTGAAGCATGCCAAGATATTGTTCTCGGGATTTCAACGCCACGTATCAACCTGATTGCTGCGTCGTGACGATCCGGAATCGTGCCAGTGGCTGCCAGAGCGCCATTTTTGGGACTTCAACACCGCGAATCAACATAACTGCTGTACACGCATAACCCTGAATCGTTCCAAAACACGATTTCTGGTTCGCTGAGCATGGGAATCCGCGAAACTCTGGCAAATTTTGAAATCAAATGTGCGCGGCGCTAGCGCGAGAACCACATTTCGAAAAGGAGCCGACCTCAATCCGTGAAATTCGTGCAAATTGTTTTAACGAATGTGCGCGGCGCTAAGGCGAGAACAACATGTTGAGAGCGACCCGCCCTAAATCCGTGAAGCTCTTGCAACGTTTAAGAGGAATGTGCGCGGCGCTAAAGCGAGAAACACATTTTGAAAACCACCCGCCCTCAACCCGTGAAACTCTTGCAAGTTCTTAAAATGAATGTGCGCGGCGCTGAGGCGAGAGCCACATGTTGAAAACCACCCGTCCTCCATATGTGAAACTGTTGCCATTTTTGAAGCTGCGGAGTCATACATGGCGAGGAAATCTTAGGCGAAACGCCCGGCCCGCCCTAAAAACTGGCCTCGGGGTGCGACAGGGAGAAGTTATCCATAAGGAAAAGGAATCGGGGAGGAGGAGGAGGAGGAGGCCCTGGCCGCGGATCAACAGAAGCGCGTCGCCGCCGGACTTCTGTGCCAGACGCCTCAGGCGCACGCCTTCGCCCGGGGGGCCGCCGTGGGCCCAGAGGCCCCTGGTGCACAGGGCCTCCCAGGGTCAGGTCGGGCGTGTCCCCCTACAGGCGGACTCTTTTGGAGAAGATGAAACATAGTTTAACATTTTCCCAGAGCGACCCTACCTAGGAGTTGGAGCCCCGAGGATAGCAATATTAGTAGTAACGGTAAACGCCGTCCTCCTCCTTCTCCTCATCGTCGCAGTTGTAGCAGTAGAAGTAGTAGTAGTAGTAGTAGTAGTAGTAGTAGTAGTAGTAGTAGTAGTAGTAGTAGTAGTAGTAGTAGTAGCAGTAGCAGTAGTCGTCGTAGTAGTCGCAGTAGTAGTAGTAGTAGTAGTAGTAGTAGTAGTAGTCGTCGTCGTCGTCGTCGTCGTCGTCGTCGTAGTAGTAGTAGTAGTCGTAGTAGTAGTCGTAGTAGTAGTAGTAGTAGTAGTAGTAGTAGTAGTAGTAGTAGTAGCAGTAGTAGTAGTAGTAGTAGTAGTAGTAGTAGTAGTAGTAACCATACAGCTTAATACCTACATCTACATCTAGACCGACATTCACATCTACACCTACAGCTACATCTACATGTATTCATGCATCTACATCTACATCAACATTTACAATTGCGCTCACACCTACATCTACATCTACACCTACATCTACACCTACAAGTACATCTACATCTACATCTACATCTACACCTACAGCCACATCTACACCTACACCTACATCTAAATCTACATATACACTTTCGCATTGGTTTTGCTTTTGCTTTGCATTGCCTTTGCTATTGCTCTTGAATTTGCTGTTGCCTTTGCCTTTGCTGTTGCTGTTGGTGTTGCTGTTGCTTTGCTGTTGTGTTTGCTGTTGCTTGGTGTTGTGTTTGCTTTGCCTTCGCGGCTCCTGCAAGTGCTGTTGCTATGCTATGTTATGATATGCTGCGCTATACTATGCTATGCTATGCTATACAACGCTATGTTGTGCTATGTTCTACTATCGTATTATATGCTATGTTATGCTATGCTGCGCTGTGCTATGTTAAGCTAAGCTATGATATGCTATGCTATGCTAGGCTATCCGATGCTGCGCTATGCTATGCTATGATATGCTATGCTATGCTATGCTATGCTGCGTCATGCTACGCTGCGAGTTGCTATGCTATGCTATGATATGATATGATATGCTATGGTATGCTATGCTATACTAATGCTGCGCTGCGCTAAGTTAGGCTAAGCTGAGCTAAGCGAAGCTAAGCTAAGCTAGGCTAGGCTAAGCTAAGCTTAGCTAAGCTAAGCTTACTAGGCTAGGCTAAGCTAAGCTAGGCTAAGCTAAGCTAAGCTAGGCTAAACTAAGATGAGATAAGCAAAGCTAAGCTATGGGGGCGTAACTGGGGGAACCTCGGGGCGGATGCCCGGGGAACCGCCCGGGGCGAGCCCCACTGCCCGGCCCTTTAAGCTATTAAAGTAAGAACCCTTCTAGGCAGAGCCTAGGTAGGGAACATGTTCCAACAACTAATCAGAAACACATTGTAAAACAAGAGAAAAACAACCTGCCATATTATTTGTTGGCTACAGATTCCTCCTGTAGAGAGGTATGCCCGAGTTAGAAATACAGTTTCGGAGCTCCGTGTGGATTTCCTGGAACGGCGCTGCCCCCCCCCCCCCCTTCCCTGGCGCGCGGAGCGCGCCTGGGGCGGCGCCGGAGGCGCCGCTAGAGGGCCCCAGGCGGCGACCCGAGAACTCGGAGCGGAGCTCCGAGCATCGTTGTTTATGTTTAGGTCGGGCGTGTCCTCCTACAGGCGGTTTTTGACAGAAAACTCACGAATAGTAAAAGCATGCCCTAACGTGGTCAAAACAAATGAAAAAATCATCCCCAGACTATTTTCCTATTTTGAATATTCCTCCTGTAGAGGAGCATGCCCGACTTCCAATTGTGTGCTTCTTTCTTCCATCGAGCCCCAGCGCGCAAAATCCGGTCACATGTAGCGCCCCAAACCCGGGTAGCAGCGCAGTCCAAAGCGCGTGAAGCGTTTGTGGGAGACGCTTGCAAGGACGCTGGAAAGGATGTCGTGGAAGCTTGCAAGGTGGGTAAAGGGGGTTACGCGGGAGCTCCCAAGGAGCTTCGAAGGAGCTGTGGAAAGGCCTCAGGCACGCGCATTGGGAAGGATGCGGAAAACGCTTGCCGGGACCCGCTGCAACTTCAAGCAAGTCGCTGCGGAGATTCTGGACCGGCGCGGGAAAGAACTGCCAGGCTACCCGGCGCAGCCGGCTTCTGATCTGAACTCCTTTTAGCTCTCAAGAGCTATCCGGGAAACATCTGGGACACAATCTTTAGAAGACGAAGAAACGGCACAGACAGAAACTTTCGGAGGTCCGCGCAGATTTCTCGAATCTGTAGTAGAAATCCCCTCCCTGGCGCGCGGAGCGCGCCAGGGGCGGCGCCGCCCGAGGGCCTCGGGCGGCGACCCGAGGAATCCACGCGGAGCTCCGAACGTCTATGTGTATGCGTCTTCTGTTGCAACTCATGGGGGCCTCCCGTACCATGTCGTTGGCCGACGCTGATCGACGCTAATCGACGGTGGTCCACGCGAATCGACGCTATTCGACGCTAGCCGACGCTAAACCGGCGCTATATCACTGATTACCAGACGCTACTCGACGCTAACCGACGCTGAAGACGGAATTAAGACTGTATACCATATAGGGAGCAGAAAATCCACCCTCGTAACAACCACCCCGACACGCGCAGTCATTGAGTAAACGCACCCAAAGAAGAAATCGAACACGGCGGGGCTGTTTAATAACCGCCTTGGGCCGTCCAGCAAAACCAGCTATCGGGTCGGGGTGGCCTTTCCCTCCTGTGCGCAAGGCTCCCATGACTTGTTGCCGAATGCATCTTTCGCTTCTTCGGGACCCAGCGCGCAGGATCTGGTCAACATCTGCTTCTTTTGCGGCCCCTCGGAAAAGCCGTTGTGTGCGGACCCCGCCGCGGCGGGGCGGAGCCTCCAGGACAGGAGGCACAGAAAAGAGGACGACGAGCGCCAGGGGGGGCAGCCGTGGCCTCGACCAGCCCCCCTCTTTTCGCATGAGGTCGGGCAGGTCCTCCTACGGGCGAGCTCTGGCAGAAGAGTAAAGCATAGCCAAAACGTGCTCAACGAAGTAGTCAAACATAGTGTTATGCTGCTCCCATCGTACTTAAGGACCACATCCCAGAAATAATTTCGAGCACCCGGAAAAGTGTCGAAAGAGTGTCGAAACAGTGTCTCCCAGGGCCCGACACGTGAAAACCCTCGAGTTTTGGTGTACTTTTCTGGCGCTCGCAATTCTTTCTGGTGATCAAGGCCAAAGTAGGTTGGAACATCCTAAACGTAGTGGACAAATAGTCCCCGGACCATTTCTGGACACTCCTCCCGTAGAGGGACATGCCCGACCTCACCCCGGCGTGGAGGAGGCGGGCCCTGGAGGAGTCGGGTCCAGGACCCCTGGGGCCTTCCCCCCAGGACCAGCTCCCCTATCCCGGGGCGTGCCCTGACGGTCCCGAGGGCCCGTGGAGGGCCCGCGGAGGGCTCCGAGGCGGAGAAAAACACCAGCATCGGGGGCTGCTGCAAGGGTTATGTCGGGCCTGTGCCCCAGACAGGGGATCTTGGACGAAAAATTAAACATACCCCAACAGTACCCCAACATTGTCAAAAATGTTCACAAATCCCCAGACGATGTTTTGACTATTTGTGGACATTCCTCCTGTAGAGGGACAGGCCCGGCCTAATACAAGGGAGCCCCTGGCCCCCAGGGTGCCCCCCAGCTTGCGCCTCTTCTCGTGGAGCCCCTGCAGGCCCCCCTGGGCCTCGTGAGGGTGCTGTGGGGGCCGTGAGGGCCTCCTCGGAAAGCCCGGGGGGAACCGCGGCGTGCCTCCGCCCTTTTACCCGCCCGCATCCGTCCCACGTCTCCCCCTCCTCCTCCTCCTCCCGCTCCGTCTCGTCCTCCCTCTGCTACTCTTCCTCCTGCTCCTCATCCTTCCTCCTCCTTCCCTCGTCCTCGTCCAACTCCACAACTCCACCTCCGCCATCTCCTCCTCGTTTGCCTTCCTTCACCCCAGTCTGCACTCATTCTAGTTATCCCGACGGTCGTGTTCGCGTTCCATGAGCGATCAATTCATGATACGTCTCAAATGGCTGTTCGATAACTATTGACCACCCCTCCACGGGCGCGACAGTCCAGGCAGGGTCTGGAAGCATGTCCAAGGAGGCTGCGATATTGCTCCTGGTCGCAACGCCGGATGCGATGTCCTGGAGCTCGCCGTCGCGCGCGGCGCGAGCTTCCAAGACGCTGCATCGTTGTGTACAAGCTCACCAGGGAGCCCTGTCGCGGAGCGAAGGGGCACGACACGGCAGAGCAGCGACAGACGAAACCACAGACCCCCCCTTCTCGGAAGGGTGGCCTGCGCGCGCGCGTTCTCGCGTAAGCGCAGCCGCGCGCGCTTCTGGCTCCCGCGTGTCCGTGCGCCCGTGCGCACCCGTGCCCCCCCTGCCCCCGTGCTCCCTGCTGCCGCGGCCTCGGCGCCCGCGCGCCCCGCGCGTGCCTGCGTGCCTGCGCGGCTTGCCCCGGCTCGCTGTGAAGGTGCCGCCGCGTGCTCGGCAGTTCTGACTCGACCGTGGCCTGGGCGCGCTGGTTCGGAGCGCGCGCGGGCGACGGCGAGGAAGGAGCATCACGCATGCGACCTCACGCGTGCGGCAAACGCGGCACACCACGCCGAGAGGGCGCATAGGTGGCAGCGTTCGCGCCGATGCTACACCTTACGCTGGCAGCGGCAACGCGCCAAGCGCAGGCGGCAACGCGGCGCACCGTGCGACCTTACGCTTGCAGCGGTCGCGCCAATGTCCGCGCAACACGCCCGATGTTGTCTCGTTGCCCGAGTGTTTTACGTAAACGTCTGAGTGTGAGTATTCTCGCGCGCGTCGAACTGAGAGAACGGACCTTCGTTTTGCTTGGCGATCGTGAGCCATAGTTGGGGCAATTGGGGTCGCGAAGGCCCTGCTCCCACGGCCTTCCAGCTCGTTGCCCGACACGCCGATATCCTTGCCCAAGAAGTTTCGCTGGCAATCCAAACCAGTCTCCTGCCGGCGAGCGGTATGCAGAAGAAGAGATTAGCGGATGAGAAAGGCGCGGGAGGGAGGACAATGTGAAGGGTGGGGAGAACAGGACGGGATGGGAGCAAATGCTCCACATCGGTGTCGATCGGAGGGCCGAAAGCGGGGAACCGAAAGTGCTCGAACCCCCTGTGACCCCCGTTTTTGCCGAAATCGGCGCTTCGCCCGGAAATGCTCACCCCGTCATCCCAAAGATAAATTGAAGTAACCGCCGATCTGCCCATCCTGACCTGTGCTCCTCATCCGTTCCTGACACGCAATAAGATGGCGAGCGGGGCGCTCTTCTGGGAGACGCCTGTCGCTCCTAGGCCACAAAGCTTCGCGGGTTGCTCTCCGAGATGCGCGACGCGCGATCGACTTCGCGCACTCGCGCCGCAACCTTGGAGAATGGCACCTCGCCAGCCTGGATCACCGCAGCGCCCTGAGCGCAGGTAGTTTCGCGCCAGCAGCTAGAGCTAGATCGACAGTTCAGCATCGGATCGGTCACTTCGACAAGGCCGAGCCCGCATGACCGAGTGGTCTCAAGACGTTGTGAGTCCGCTGCACTCGCCGCGGGTCAGCGCGCGCGCAACAGAATGATGGCCATCCCAGGCGAGCAGCTGGAGGCGCCCGCCGGCCGGCCCCACACGCAGATGTCGCATTAGAGGTGTGCCCACTTCAGCATCGGGAGGAGCACGTGCACTCTCCCGTCTCTTGGGGCTCAGGGCACAGGCAGTGGACAAATGGTGTTGCCGCTGTTGCCCGGGACACTCACAAAGAGCGTGTGCATGCATCGCGGTATCTTTGGGGCGTATCGCTGGGGCGATCTGCACGCGTTCATCCACGCTGCCTCCGTAGCCCGTTTGAGAACGCGTGGGTATAATGCTAGCAGCCCCCTTCCCGCCCCCTTCCTGTTTGCACTGTAAACAGCATAAGCGGGGTGCAGCTCCAGTGAGAAAACCTTCATCTAACGAAGACGCTCCAGCATCCACGACCCATTCGGAAAACAACGGTGAAACGTCACTGTCGCGGTCGCCGCCGATGGCGTTGCCGTCGCCGCTATCGCCGTCGCCGCTGTCGCCCTCGCCTTTGCCGGCGCCGCCATCGTCGCGTCGCTGCCGCCACCAGCATATCGCTACCGTTGCCTTTGCCATTGACGTCGTCGTTCCCCTTGCCAGCGTCGTCGTCGGCGTCTTCGCCAGCGACGTCGTCGGCGACGTCGACACCGTGGCCATCGTCGCCGTCGCCGTCGTTGTCGCCGCTGGCGACGTCGTCGTCGTGGTTGTCGTCGCCCCCGTGTTCGCCGTCGCAGTCGCCGCAGACTGGCCGTAAATTCCCATGACCCCGTCACCCCAAAGAAAAATTCTCGAAGTAACAGCCGATCTGCCCACCCTGTCCTGTGCTCCTCATCCGTTCCTGACCTGCAACATCGCCGTCGCCGCCGTCGCCCTCGCCTTTGCCGGCGCCGCCATCGTCGCGTCGCTGCCGCCACCAGCATATCGTTACCATTGCCATTGCCATTGACGTCGTCGTTCCCCTTGCCAGCGTCGTCGTCGGCGTCTTCGCCAGCGACGTCGTCGACGACGTCGACACCGTTGCCACAGTCGCCATCGTCGTCGTTGTCGCCGCTGGTGACGTCGTCGTGGTGGTCGTCGCGTCGCCGCGGACTGGCCGAAAATTACCACTGGCAACATGTCCAATGACAGTAGGGGGACATCATCACAGCCCGCAGAGCGTAAAAGGACATATACACTCTTCGCGGAGCACAGGCTCCTTGAGCCGCCGCGTCAAGCGGCCCTCGACGCAGATAACCAGGACAACGCGCAAGCCCAGCAACGAGCAGAACGCTACATCCTGCATGAGGCCCTTGAAGGCTTCGCGCTCGTTTGCGTCGTCGGTAAGAGGTGCATCCACGTGTACAACTACAGTACCTCGCAATCGCCAGCGGGTGTGCGCATACCGTGGCACTGATCATCGAAGAGTCACCATCCGAATAATCGTGACCGATTCGTCTGTCGCCAACTATCTATCAGCACCTGTATCGGAGACGTGCGGTCATAGCCCCCACTCAATATATTCCCCAAAGCCACTGCCATCACCCGTCTGACCAGTATTATTGCTCGGCTATGTCATACACGTCTGGATTGTGGCTCGTGCTCGTGTCCGACTGCGACTCAATACGTCGAGTCCTCACGCGTGTCAAGAGCACTGCAAAGCATGAGCCCGCCTGGCAACGTGCAACGATACACATACTCAATGCTAAAAAGCAAATGCCCATGCCGCTGGATGAACAAACGGCATAAACCGTCCAGTAGTTTACAGATCAAGGCCAACACTCACAATCTCACTACCGCGAAGATATGATGCTGCTCTGCACTCCGCCCCACCTAGACAGCTCAAAGTACAGTCGAAGCGAATGCTTCGAAAATCCTCCGACCCTGTCGGCGTGTGTGAAAGAGAGTCCTGGGTTGGTCGTTCCGTTGTGGCTCTGGGAAGCGCTTTCCATTCGAAGCTCTCCTTTCCTTCCCCCCTCTTTCCAAGCTCAACCCGGGGTGAACCGCCCCCGCATTTCGGCACCACTCACACTACTCGTGGCTCCCAAGGAGCTCCACCTACCGCTTCCGTGTTCACCTGGCGCGGCCGCATGTCGACGCCACCCCCACTTCGGCACACCACAGACACACATCGTGGCCCGCAGGGTGCACCACGTGCGTTTCCGATGGACGCGACAGCAGGGCGGCACCGCCTCCACACACACACACACACCCACACACACACAGATTCACACACACACACATTCACACACACAAACGCAAACGCAAACGCAAACGCAAACGCAAACGCAAACGCAAACGCAAACGCAAACGCACAACACAACACAACACAACACAACACAACACAACACAACACAACACAACACAACACAACACAACACAACACAACACAACACAACACAACACAACACAACACAACACAACACACACATACGTTTCGTACCCCTTGCGGAGCCCGTCCCCGGTGCGTAGCAGTGGGCGTGACCGCATGGCACGGCCGCGCGCAGTCTGGCACACAGCTTGCCGGCGTCGCGCCCCTCCAAGAGCCCCACCCGATGGCCTCAGCGGCCCACCCGCGCGTGCTTTGTGCCATTTCAGTGGAGGCCAGTCCACAAGAAAGACCTTCCACGAGAAACCCAACCCTGAGACCCCAGGACCTCCATGGATTTTTGGTGTGGGGAGAGTCGCGCTTCCCACCGCAAAACTATCGAAACCCAAGACACCCAGGGCACCCTGGAGGCAAGCAGGGTGTTTCTTGGCGTGGGCCTCCACTGCAGGGAGCCTCCAGTGCGGGCCTAATGGGCGTGACAGTGTGGCACCGCCGCGCCCACATCGGCGCGCCCCTCAAACGTGTCGCGCCCCTTCGGGGAGCTCCAGCTGCGATGCCAGCGGGCGCGAACGCACTGCGCATGGCGCCGCCGCGCCACACCGCCCCACGGCGCGCAGTTCGCGCATGCGTCTTTGAATGCTCTGCGTGTTCTGTGGCGCCCTCCTCCTCTTTCCCCTCCTCCTCCTCCTCCTCCTCCTCCTCCTCCTCCTTCTCCTCTCGTGGCCATGCCCAGCGCTGCACGCCAATGCACAGGGTGGAGTTCTTCTTCGCGCTACTGTTGTCCAACCCTCTGGTGTTTAGCTGGGCCCTCGTGTTGGATCACAAGCTCCGCGCCCCCCTCACCGTCGTCCTTCTGCCGCAAGTTCATTTCGGCGCGCCAATCGCGTGTTCAGCGGCGGCTGAGATGACCCCACGACGGCTCCAAGAGCGCCCAAAAGTGCCCCATGAGTGCCCGCAGAAACGACGTTTCGGGCTCCGACGGGATGACCGTAATAGAGAGCTCCGCTCCCTTGTTCGATGGCATCCAAGATGGGCCCCAGGGCCCCGAAGAGTGCCCCACTTGAACCCAAGAGGGAACCCCAAGAGAATCCCGAAGGCTTCCAAACTGGCCACAAGAGGACCTCAAGATGGCCCAAGTAGGCTGCCAGGAGGCCCCCATATCAAAATCCGAGAGGGGATCGATGGTGGACTCCTGAATCCGCTCAGGCGAGTCCCAACTTTCGGTTTGGCGGCTGTCCTCCTGGTTGGTCCACCGCTTTCTCCAACACTTCTCCGATCAATGCGACTCGCCTGGGCAACGTGTCTGGATGGGGGTATGCGAAGAATCAAGAATTGGTACCCGTTTGGATGTCTGCGCCAGTTGAGACCGCTACCATGTGTCTGGGTTCTGCACAAGTCGCTCGGGGTCATGCGGGTCCCCCCCCGCCGTCCCCAGCATCCCTGGGATGACTCGAATGACCTGGGGGGCATATTTAAGCAACCTCAGCCCCCAGAGCCTTCTCGGGGCCATGCTCTGCCAACTTCGGCGCTCTTGTGAGTCGCTTGGGGCCCTCCGCGACTCTCGGGGCCAGGCTCAGAGGCCCTAGCCAGCCAGATCCATAGGTCTTCTTTTTTGGGGCGAGATATGAACATTCTCACCGCAGCGGTCGCAAGGTCGTACAAGACGGCCCTGGAAGCCCCCCAAACCGGCCAACGAGGCCCCGAGGGAGCCCCAAGAGGGGCCCAGGAGGCACCAGAGAGACGGCCCAAAGAGGGGGCCCGAAAGCGCACTACCGCCGCGCCGCTGGACGCACACAACTCCATCATGAGCGCCCAAGACCACCAAGAGGCCCCCCAGAGGTCCAAGGCTCTACAAGACGCACCCCAGTTTGGCCCCCAGGAGCCTTCTTAGAAGCCCCCCGAAGGCTCTACAAGGACTCTGGAATACGACCTAAGGGCAACGACAAGATGGGAAAGGCCACAAGGAGCTAACCCTCACATGAAAACCGCCGCTGCCTCGCGCCTTCGTTCCACTCTCGCCTCTTGCGTTCAAACGATGCTCTTCTCAAGGTCGGCGGAACAAGTCGTAAGGCCCTTGCAACATAGCAAGCAGCCTGGGTCACATACTGGCACACTCAGAAGCACACGCTACGTCAGCCTTGCGCGTGCAACCTCACAAGTGCGCAGGGGGCTTCGAGCAGGGCAATCTTCTTCCACATTTCTCATTTGACGCTCGGATGCAAACCCGAATACATTAGGCTTCGCAATGCTTCGCTCAAGCTGCACTCCTGAATTCCAGGCCACGTGAGAACGAGCGCGACCTGCGAGGCCACGCGACACCCACAGCACGAACCGCAAGCCATCGGCCCGTCTCTTCCACATGGCGGAGTTCGGGAACCCTGAACCCCAAAAACGGTTGTTCATCTCTGGGGAGGCGTGATTCTTTACTTCTGCCACCTTCCGCCAGCCTTCCGCCGGCTTCCGCCAGCGGGGACGGCCTCGTTTTACTTCCGCCGCCCTTCCGCCGATCCTCGAGTCCTCGAAAGCATCCTCGATCCTCGATTCTTCCATCCTCGAGAGAGACCTGGTAACGCCGTCGATCCTGCTTGGAGCGCCTCGCAGATGGCCCGCTCCGAGGCCCTGCGCTCTCGTAGGCATCCTTTCTCCTGTGCTGCAGCCGCCCTGCGCTGGCCTTCCGCCGATGGGGAGGGACGGCGGCCCCTCGCTCCTCGAATGCGGGGGCCTTGTTGCATGGTGCTGCACAGCCCCAGCACACGTGCAGGATTACGCAATCTCCAGAAACTCGTAGAGGTCTGTGCAGGTGTTCCTCGCATCGGGGCTAGAAGCCCCTCCCCGGCGCGCGGGGCGTGCCAGGGGCGGCGCCGGAGGAGCCGCCAGGGGGGGCCCAGCGCGGATCCAAGAAATCCGCGCGGGCCGCCAAGAACTTTATGTTCATGCAGCTTTTCGTTCTTCGAATATTGCTGTCGTCGTCCTTCTCGCTCACTTAGGTCGGGCATGTCCTCCTACAGGCGGATTTTGAAGGAGAAATGAAACGTAGTCAAACATATTCAAACATAGTCACACATAATCGAACATCGCCCCGATACTATTTATGGACTATCTATTTTTGAATACTCCTCATGTGGAGGGACAGACCCGATTTAAATCTTGCTGTCGTCCTCCTTCTCGTTCTCAGCTTTACCGTGGACGCGCACACAAGGGCCTCCCTCCGCTCGCGGCGGGGAGCGCCCCTCTGGTAGCAAGCGATGTACGGCGCCGCGTTCCGGAAGAGGGACAGCCAGTCCCCCTGTGGCTCTCTGCGCTCGGACTCGCCGGGGGCAGAGATCACCACGTGCTCCAGCGGCCAGGGCAGGGCCGACTCCGCGAACGGGAATGGCCCGCTCTTCTCGCCTCGGGGGCAGCTGCGGAAGGAGGGCCCTGCGACGGAGGGGCGTGGGGGCAGCGTCAGGGCGGGCGTGTCCTCCTACGAAGGATTTTGGACGAAAACTGAAACATAGTCCAAAGAATACTCAAATGTGTGAAGACTCCTCGTGTAGAGGGACATGCCCGACTGAAAAGGGCAGCGAGAGCGGACAGGACGGGTGGCCTGTGCACAGGCCATGGTCGGGGCGCGCAGGGGGGGTTGCGGCGAGGGAGGTGGCACTCGGAGGTGGCACTCCACCCAGGAATCCTACCAGCCCTCTGGGCGCAGGCGGTTTAGAGAGTTTCCTCTTCCAACCTCCCTCCTTCCCTTCGAGGAGGGGTTTATCATTGTTCCCTATTAATAAACACCCCCTCCCCCAGGCGACTGGGGGCCAACCCAGGTCCATGACGACACCCCCCCCACCATCTTTTGTAAAAAACAATACAAACACACACTCTGCCTCCAAATTCGGAACATGCGCAGCCGACCCGATGCGGCCCCCCCCCCCACCATCCTTGTCAAAAAAACAATCCAGGGTACACTTGGCCGCGGCGGCGGCGGCTGCGGCGGCTGCGGCGGCGGCGGCGGCGGCTGCGGCGGCGGCGGCGGTGGCGGTGGCGGCAGCGGCAGCGGCTGCGGCGGCGGTTTGGCAGCGGGGGGCGGCGGCGGCGGCGGCGGCGGCGGCGGGCGGTGGCGGCAGCGGCTGCGGCAGCGGCGGCGGTTTGGCAGCGGGGGGCGGCGGCGGCGGCGGCGGCGGCGGCGGCGGCGGCGGATTGGCCCCCAGTAGCTGCCCATCCAAAGACGACTGCTGAATATGCTGGGGCTGGGGCCATACTCGGGTGCTACGTATGTGTTGGGAGGGCGGGTGGGAGTGAGCGCGACGGCTTGCAGGCGGCGATGGGGGTCTTGATCACTGTTCCCTATTAGTAAACACCCGCTCTCCCAGGCGACTGGGGGCCAACTAGGGTCCATGACCCCCACCCACCATTCCTTGCAAAAACAATACAAAACACACTCTGCCTCCAAATTCGGAACATGCGCAGCCGACCCGATGCGGCCCCCCCCCCCCATCCTTGTCAAAAAAAACAATACAGAGTACACTTGGCGGCGGCGGCGGCTGCGGCGGCTGCGGCGGCGGCTGCGGCGGCTGCGGCGGCGGCGGCGGCGGCGGCACGGCGGCGGCAGTGGCGGTGACGGCAGCGGCTGCGGCGGTGGAGGCGGTTTGGCAGCGGGGGGCGGCGGCGGCGGCGGCGGCGGGCGGCGGCGGCGCGGCGGCGGCGGCGGCGGCGGCGGGCGGCGGAGGCGGCGGCGGCGGCGGCGGAGGCGGCGGCGGCGGCGGCGGCGGCGGATTTGCCCCCAGTAGCTGCCCATCCAAAGACGACTGCTGAATATGCTGAGGCTCGGGCCAGACTCGGGTGCTACGTATGTGTTGGGAGGGCGGGTGGGAGTGAGCGAGACGGCTTGCGGGCGGGGAGGGGGTCTTGACCCCTCCCCCCACCCCCTCCCCTGGATCTGGACGGGGGGGTTCGCGACGCGTTGGAGCGTCCAAAACGGCCTCGGCGAGGAAGCCAACATCATTGGTTTTACTTAGGTTTTGGCCCCATTTTGGCCTCCTGAGGGGGGGACCCTCATTAGAGCCCACCCCTCCTGTGATCGATCTCACCTCAGATGGCCCTAGGCTCCCAAGGCTGCCCCAAGAGGGCCCCAAGAGGTGGCCAGGAAGCCCCAAGAGGCCCCCAGGATGCCCCCAAGAGGCTCCCAAGAGACCTTCAAGAGGCCCCAAGAGACCGCCAGAGGCACCCAAGATGCTCCAAGAGGCCTCAGCGAGAATGCCAAATCATTTTTTACCACGGTGTTAGCTACATGTTGGCCTCTTGGGGGGGGCACTGATTAAGATGACTCCAAGAGCGCCTGGGAGAGCCCAAGATGACCTCCAAGATGGGTCAAGATATACCCCGATGTCTCCTAATGGCTCCCACGATGCTCCAAGATGCCCCAAGACCGCTCCAAGACGGCTCCAAGTGACCAAAGAGCTCCCCCAGGAGGCCCCGAAAGGGGCCAAAACCTTGGGACCATCTATGTGTTTGGCTTTCTCGCCTTTTCGCTTCCGATGGCCATCCGAGGCACAAGATGGCTCTAAGATGGCCCAAGAGGGCTCCAAGAGAGGCTCAAGAGAGCCCCAAGACGGCCCCAAGAGCGCCTCAGAGCGCTCCAAGAGCGCCCCAAGAGCGGCCCAAGAGGCGATGTTTGGGGCTCCCGAAGGGCAACGCTAACTAATGCTCGCTTCTTGTTTGACCGATGTCCTCCAAGATGGCCCCAAGAGCGCTCCCAAGGCTCCGCGTGCAGGGTGCACAGCAGCAAAATGCCTACGTCTTGGCTGCTAAAGAAAAACACAAAAAACAACAAAGCTCGCCGCCGAGAGGTCGGTGCGACGCTGGCACAAGTGGAGTGGAAAAGCGTCAGCCAGTCGTGGCCGACGCCCAGACGAATCCATTTCCGGCACGCCTGGGCCACAAACTTGCGGACGAAGATCCCACCCGCACCCGGCCACCTCGGATAGACCGAGCCCCTCTGCACGAGGCGACCCTACAGGCCCCGGGCACCTCGGCGAAAGCCTCTCTCGGGGGGCGGGGGTCGGCGGCGACGAGAAGGGCGACTAGCCCAGGGGCGGGCATTACACGCTCGCCTGGGAGCCTCGCCGAAGACATGGATTCTCGGCGCCCCTGGATACATGCCTGGATGCATGTGAAGGATTTCGGGAACCCTGAACCCCAAAAACGTTTTCATCTCTTGGGGGCACATCTTTTACTTCCGCCGCCTTCCGCCGAGCGTCCGCTGGCTTCCGCCGGCGGAGGCGGTCTCGCTTTACTTCCGCCGACCTTCCGCCGCCCTTCCGCCGAGGAAGAGATGCCAACTCCTTCGAAACTCACAGCTTTCTTGGGGGACGCCCCATGCCTTGTTTCCCCCCCCGTCGGGCTAATTATTCGCCCCTGTCGTCGCCTCCGATGGGGGGGGGGGGGGGGCACACGGCTTCACGTGAGAGTGACCCTGGGTAAGAGTGACCTCTGGTGCGCGGCTCAACGGGGGACGCGGGGTGGCCAAACCTGGGCGCGCCAGCCGCTGCCAGCCGCTTCGCGCTCAGCGATCGGGGGACCCCATTGGTCGGCGGTGGACGAACCTCCCTTTAGTAAACCTCCCTTTAGTGAAAACGGCCTGGGACCGAAACCGACGGACCTGGACCCGCAAACATGACGGCCGCGACGCCCCCTCGCGAACCGAAAACGACCAATTCGCTAATCGACGTGTCAGGGTAGGAGGTCTATCCACCTCCGATATACCGCTTAGCGCTCAACAATCGGGGGGAACCATCGGGCCCGCACCAAAGGCAGGCCACTCCGGCGAAAGGTCACTCAAACGTGTAGTCTGAAGTCGGGCCTGTCCCCTTACAGGGGGGTTTTGGACGAAAAATCTAAAATGCCCCCAAAAAATACCCCTAAATGGTCAACAAATACTGACAAAAATCGTCCCCAGGCTATTTTTGACTTATTTTTGAATATCCCCCCTGTAGAGGGACAGGCCCGACTTAATGCTATACCGCTTCGCGCTCAGCGATCGGGGGACCCCATTGGGCCCGCACCAAAGGCCACTCCGGCGAAAGGTCACTCTTACGTGTAGTCGACGGGCACGCCCTCCCGCCGAGCTGGCGCCCCGGCGGAGCCGCCCGCCGCTCTGCTGCGCCGGGCGCTCCGGCGGGCCCTGCCGCCGAGGGAGGGCGTCCCCAACCCTCCCCCCCGGAGGAGGAGGAGGAGGAGGAGGAGGAGGAGGAGGGGAGGAGGAGGAGGAGGAGGAGGAGGAGGAGGAGGAGGAGGAGAGGAGGAGAGGAGGAGGAGGAGGAGGAGGAGGAGGAGGAGAGGAGAAGGAGGGAGGAGGGAGGAGGAGGAGGAGGAGGGGGGAGGAGGAGGAGGAGGAGGAGGAGGGGGAGGAGGAGGAGGAGGAGGAGGAGGAGGAGGAGGAGGAGGAGGAGGAGGAGGAGGGAGAGGAGGAGGAGGAGAGGAGGTCGGCGAGGCCCCTGCTCCGTTGTTGAAGCAGCCTTCGTCCAACTTTCCCGAGCCCAGACCTCCAGCGCGTCGCGTTCTTTCGGAAGCGATCCGTCACCCCCTGAGCCGCTCGCTCCGTCCGCCCCTTTTCGGCCGCGCCTCCCCCCTCTCCCCCCTCTTGCATGGTGGCACAGTTCGCTCTAACGGCATCCCCGTTTAGGCATCCCATCGCCAGCGCAGACGTCCCCCGCCTAGCCGCCGACGCGAGAAGTGTTTTCTTCAATGCATGGCCCCGGGGCGTCTGGACCCCGTCGTGAGGGCCGACTTGTGTTGGCCTCTCTTTCCTTCCTGACGGTCCCAGGGCTTGGAAACGCCCCCCGGAGTCCAAGGCCGGGCTAGCGGCAATGTTGCTCACAGGTAACATTGGGAACTACGGTGTAGGAAGTTGACAAACTACGCTTTTCACAAAATTTCCGATCTGCGAATGGATCGAGCAAACACGACACCGCAAATAAGAGGAAAGCGTGAACCACGCGTTCCCACTATACCGAAACCTGCATCGCCGTTACCTGCATCGCCGTTAGCCCGTCGACGGCCCAGGGCCCCGGAACGTCCCCCAGAGTCCCCGATCGAGGGAACAACGGCCGTAACAGTGTCTCGCGACGCCGCAGGGGCGAGCCGTGTCCCACGTTCTTCTCTGCCTCCGAAGCCATCTCTGGCCAAGCTGACTAATTCGGACGACTCTTGGTCGTGGAATCTGGGGAGAACAACAAACTGGTTGGAAGGGGTTGGGAGGATGAAGGACATGAGCAATTGCATCTGGATGCATTGAACGATACCTTCGGCCACTTACGGGTAGTTCGTGATCTCCCCATTTCTTCCAACCCCATCCTCCCCAAAATGTGTTCCTGAGAATCACGATCGCAACAACAGGTGTTCAGACACCGGTAGCTCCAGCGTGACAGAAATGGCCAAAGCATCTCCTGCGGGCTTCGTCTGAAAGAGAGAGAGAGAGAGAGAGACTGATCACGACAGCATTGGCGAGTCAGAGGAAAAAACCCGTTCTCTGAATCCAGTTGCTTTGTTTCTCACTGTTATTTGGCGGCGCACGCAAGGGGGTAATTAAGGAAAGGGGGAAAGGCTTCTTAGAAGCAGGGGTGCTTCTTAGAAGGCGCCAGCCCTGAATCTGTAGGTACGGCCCGCGCCTTCTAGGAGAAGCAGGGGTGCTTCTAAGAAGCCTTCCCCCCTCCCCCTGCCCCCCTCTGCGTGCGACGGAATTGTTCCTCTTCCAGGGGGCGCCCACAGGTGCCGGCCCGACGGGGCACCTGCTTCCCCTCCAAAGCATGAGGTCGGGCGTGTCCTCCTACAGGCGGGCTGCGGAAGACAAATGGACAGACAATCTTCCAATCATCATAAAAGATGATCAAAAGATCGTCCCCTGACTGTTTTTGTATTACTTTTGAACACGCCCCCTATAGAGGGATAGAGGGACACGCCCGACTGAATCCCAGCAGTCAGGAGCCTGCCCGAGCGTGCGGAGCGGCCAGAGTCGGCGCCGCACCTGCAAGGGCCCTTCTGGGGGGCTCTGCACCGGGCGAAGCAGTTCGGGCAGGGCTCCGTACAGCGAGCCCCAGAGCGATATTCCGACCGGTGATCGGCTGCAGCAAGCCCGCATGATGAGGACGCACAATGAGGATGCAGGGTCCTTGGAGGAAGGCCATGCCAACTCTCTGCGAGCGGGGCGCGGCCAGAGGAAGCGGCCAAGTACGGGCCGAAGGGGAGGGATGCAAGGGTCAACTTGGAAAGTCGCTCATCCTCACTACGCGGGTTGACTGTGTTGCAGGTTAATCACATGACGACGTGAGTGCTGGCTTCTGACTCCGCGCGGCTCTCCGATGGCGCAGGTCATTCGATGCAAGACGAGCTCAGACAACTGATGAAGTTCATCCTTAGACGCCCGTGCTAGGGTTGTCACCGCATCAACGCGGCACAAACCTTCAGTAGGGGCCAATGCTTCTGCAGAGAAGCAAACGTATGTCCGCTTCCTTGCCGCGAGTTTCTGATTGCAATGTCCGCGGGCCCTTCGCTCTTTCAGAAGCCTCACATGTCAGATCCATGGGCGCTCGTGGGCGCTCCTGGGATTCGTCGGGTCACTTTTCTGGCGGCCTCAGGGGAAAGTCTGCGAGTCCACACTTTCCGCGTGCCCTAAGATGCCTTCCGTTCGCGCGGCTGCGAAGACCAGACAGAATATTGAGTACGGAATAATCGCACTGCGCAAAATCACTTGGGCGGCGTCGACGCCAGCAGCGCCTTCACGGCATCAAGGATACCCTTGCCAGTCCGGCTGAGCTCGAGCCTGGGGTTCGCGATTTTGTGCTGCAGCAGACCATCGAGCTGGTCTCGGACTTCAAAGACGAGCTCCTCGATCCTCTTCGGCACCGAGAACTTGATCCATGAGTCGATCGACAAGATGCTCTCGCCAGAGGCCTCCTTCTGCCCCGAGACGGCCCGACCACCCACCTTCGCAGGAGCATTGCCATCTTTCTCGTAAGCCTGGTACCCCGCAGGAGCCGAAGCAGCACCGCCGTCCCTGTTGCGCCGTCGCCGATCAGAGCTGAGTGCGCCGCCGAAGAGCATCAACGCGTAGGCCGACACGGGCGCGCAGTCCCGGACGTACACCTGCGTCGTGCGCACCTTCTCGGCATACACCAGGTACTTCGACTCGAACTTTGTCTCCCTAGCGTTCACCGAAGACGGATGCAGCATGACCGTGACCGGCTGAGCCTTGTCGTCCTCTCGGATGGTAAACTTCGGCGCGCCTCCGCCGCCCATCTTGCCGGCCTTCCCGCTCTTGCCGGCCTTGCCGCCGAGAGCCGCGGGCTCCGCCTGCTCGACGACAACCACCTGCGGGTACAGCGCAGCGCACAGGAGCGCCTTCAGCAGGGCGCCCCTGTCCGCCAGCGCATCGCCGTCTTCCGCCCCCAGCGCCAGCCGCACGCCGTCGCTGCCCCCAGCGCGCCTGCCCATGGCCTCCACCGCCCTGGCCCGGAGGCCCGGGGCGACGAAGTGCGCGTGCGAGAGCAGCTCGAGCAGCTGCCGCTTCAGTCCGGCGATGTCTGCGTTTTCTTATTCGGCGTTTCGACATTGGGCAGAAGAGGGGGGGGAGGGGGGGTCTGGCTCTGGACCTCTGCTCAGTGCCACTGTTTGCGCCAGCGCGTCCCATGGGGGAAACAGGCGACAGAAACAGACAAGATCTTCTCCATGGGGGGGGAGGATGGGGGGTGCGAGGGCCTGCGCCGATCGGCAAAACAACGAAAAAGAAAACGATCACGATGGACTGCAGAGTCTTGATCCCGAGGAAATGCTCCCGGGCAAACTCGAACTTCGCTTGTCCAGAGGTCTGGTCAAACTCCGTGTAGGCCTTCAGCACTGCCAGGTGGTCGGATTGCCCAACGGTGAAGGATCGCTTCGCGGCGTCTGCGGCGTCCCGCTGGTCGAAGGGTGAGAGGAAGGGCGACCGGTACGAGAGCGCGGCGGCAATCGTCAGCGTCTCGTCGACCACCCCGAAGATGGTGCCCAGTAGGATCAGCTTGCCAATGCGTACATCGACAGGCAGTGTTGACAAGTGAACGCCCAACGCCGTCAGCTTCTCGCCGCCGTCTCCGACGTCAAGCGCATCGAGCTCTACCAGCTCTCTGACAGCTCGCTTGACCGCCACAAGCTTGGGCGGCTCCAGTAGGCGTGCGCAGACCTCGCTGGCAGGCTCGACATACCTGAGAGACTTGATGGTGAGCACCAGGCGCTCGAGCGGCACTCGCGAGATCTCAGGAGGCTGGAAACTGTCGATCACCTTGTCATGCGCGAAGCTCGTGATCAGGTGGAAGGCGACGCCTGGGCGGGTGCGGCCGGCGCGGCCGCGCCGCTGCTTCGCATTGGCGCGGGAGACCAAAACGTCCTCGAGTGACTCCATCCGCTTCGCCGGATCGAAACGCTTCTCCTTCATGCGGCCACAATCGATGACGATGCTCACGTCGTCGACAGTGATGGCAGTCTCCGCGATGTTCGTGGCGATGACGACCTTCCGAACTCCAGGGGGCGCTCTATCAAAGACCCACCGCTGTTCGTCAGGGGGCAGCATGCCATGCAGAGGAAGCACCCAACTGCGCTGAGGCTCGCTACGAAACTCTCTCGTCGCAAGGATCGCCTCGTGCAGCGTCTGGATCTCCTTGACACCTGGCAGGAATATCAGCACTGCATTTTCCAGAGCCTCGGTGCCAGCGCCGCCCTTCATCTGCTTTGCTTGTTCCCCGACCTTTGCCGCTGCGGGCGCCGAGTACCCTGCCGAAACGCTCTGGGATGCCCTCCTGCCAGAGCGCTTCGCCTCCGCCCACCGCGCCACGGCCGCAGGGCCATCCTCGCAGGCGCTGCTGCACAGCCACTGCAGGAGCTGCACTATTCGCCGACCCCTCGAGGGCTCCTCTCGGAGGCGAGCCCTGGGGGGGAAGCGAGGAGGAACAGGCTCTCTCAGAAGGCTCGGGCGTCCCCCCGCCCTCCGAGAAGCCTTCGGAGCCCTCCCCGAAGACGGAGAAGGCCCTCCCAGAAGGCGAGAGGGCTTCTGAGAAGTCCCGCCGCCCTCGGAGAAGGCCTTCTCCGTCTCCCTTCCCTCCCCCGCTCGCCGCCGAGTCTCGGCATGTGCTGCAGTCGGGAACGTTTGCTCCGCGTGCTGCGGCGGCGGCCCCAGCGACACGCTGTGCCCCGCGAGCGGATGGCACGTGCCTCCACACGGCGGCCCGGGAGTCTCGGACGAGCTCGGGACGTGAACGCTCGGGGACTGGCACGTGGACAGCTCGTCGCGCCGAAGCGCGGCGGGCCAGGACTGGCGGCGCGACACGCCAAGCTAAAGTTCCCGACCGTGGTTGCCCCAGGCCCCTCCCATGGGATCCTGGTCTGATGGTTTTGGAGGGGTGGGGGGCAAGCGAGCGCTGCTGAGGGGCGGGGGGGTGGTCCGACCCAGAAGTGCTCGCAAGCGCATCCCAGATGACCCTGACTTGCTCCAGATTGCCTCCCAGATCTTGAAAAATGCTCCATCTTCGCCTGTGCTGGCTTCAATCATGCGTCCAACCGCAAAGCGCTCTCAAGACGGCTCGAGGTGGCCAGGAGGCTGCCCCAAAACACCATCCAGAGGCCCACATGAGTATTCCTCCTGTGGATTTTCCATAGCCTGAACATGCTGGCCTGTTCTGTCATGCGAGCTTTCGACGGCGGCCCAATCGTTCCCTGTGGTCAGCGCAAGAAGGGGCCAAAACAGCCCCTAAGGGGGCCCAAGACGGGCCGAGGAAGGACCAGCAGGGGGCCCCAGCCGCCCCTACGAGGGGGCGCAAGACGGACAGGTGGGACCCAAGACGGTCCAAGACGGGCCCAACACGGCCCAATACGGCTCCAAGATACCCCCGTAGGCCTCCAAGAGGCTCGCAGAAGATCCACCAAATGCCCACAGAAAGCTTCAAACGCCACTCAAGAGGACCCCCCATGCCCCCAAGAGGCCCCTCCAAACCTTGCAACAGATCGCAAGGACCCGCTAGAAGGTGTCCTCCTCCTCCTGCTCCTCCTGCTACTAAATGCGGTCGTATGTAGAGTTCAGACTTTCTGCGTTCTGGACGTGCACCTCGCGAAGCAAGAGGAGGCCACCACGCTCGGAAGTGCCGTGTTGCCGGAGGCAGCTTGGCCGCACAGCTGAGTCGCAGTGTGTCTCTCTCAACCTGTGCGAGAAAAGGTGATGTAAGCGACTATACAGTACCCTATCGGTCGGACGAAGTAGGTAGAAACATGAAGTAGGAAGGCGCTGAAAATAGATTGGGTGTCCGCCCGCCTCCTAAAGAGGACGGAAAAGACGAAGCCACTCGATCATTGAAGTAGGAAGACCCTTAAAGTAGATTGGAATCTGGAGATGCAAAATACTTACTTTCAAAGGCCGATGGGTGGGTATACATTATCATCAGACCCCCTTGTCATCCTCTCACCACGGGCGCCACGACACACGCACCGAGCAAGACGTGGAGATCCCTTCTCTGCGCCTCCGCACTCCGAGGCACCACTTGGTTCCTTGCCACTGGGATTGAATGAGGCATTGCGTACTTTCGGTGAACCAATGATCGCTCCAAAAACGGCACACAAGAGGGCCAACGACGACCCAAGATGGCCACATGATGTCCCAGGAGGCCCCGAAGACGCCCACGAGGGCCCCAAGTGGGCCCCCAAGACGGCCCCCAAAGGCAACCAGTTTTCGTCACGTTTCGGGAGGATGTCGCATTCTCGGCATGTCGGGCTTCCAGGTCTCCAAGACGACCCAAGACAGCCCCAGAAGACGGCCCCAAAGATCCCTAAGAGGTCCTCAAGACGGCCCAAGAGGGCCCCAAGAGGACCCCGAGATGTTCCAGGAGACCCCCACGATGGGCCCAACATGAGGAAGTCGCAGGGGCGCAAGTAGCCCTCTCCCCCCCCCCAAAAAAAAAGCTGCCCCCCGAACCCTCTAAGAGGCCCTGGGAGGCCCCTAGGAGGCCCCGAGGATGCCTCTGATCCCCCGCTTCCGCAACATACCCAAAGAAATCTCCGAAAGGTCTCCTCCTCCTCCTCCTCCTCCTCCTCCTTCTACTCCTCCTACTCCTCTACCTCTTCCTCCTCCTTTTTTCTCCTCCTCCGCCTGCAAATGCTTCTCCTCTCTCCTCCTCCTCCTCCTCCTCCTCCTCCTCCTCCTCCTCCTCCTCCTCCTCCTCCTCCTCCTCCTCCTCCCCTCCTCCTCCTCCTCCTCCTCCTCCTCCTCCTCCTCCTCCTCCTCCTCTTCCTCTTCCTCTCCCTACTCATCCTGATCCTCATCCTCCTCTCCTCCTTATCCGCCTCACGCTTCTCCTCCTCTTGGTCATCCTGCTCCTCCTCCGCCTGCCAAACTCTGCGGTCGCAACGCCCACGCTTTTACGCGCTCCGGCCGTGCACACCGCGAAGCGAAAAGAATCAGGTCGTAGTTGATCGCATCAGGGTCCAACCTGCTCAGGGCCGCACGAACTGCGTCGGAACTCCCCGGGTACCTCGCCTTAAGGTCCGCCGGCGTCAAGTCTGCGTCCGTCGGGGCGCCTCCGCCACTCGCGCCGTGTGCGCCCTGTCTGTTCTCCCCTGCTCCGCCTCCTCCTTTGGGCCCTTTGCCGCCCTTGCCTTTGCCACCACCCTCGGCACTGGAACGAGCTTGGTGCTGCGTGATTTCAAGAACGTCCTCCAAGAAGAGCTGCGTGACCGGGAACGCGCGGCCAGGGACGCACACCGTCGGGGCCTTCAGCCCGCCAGTGGAAAAATATGTTGTGAACAGGCTTGCGTTGAGCGTCGCTGACATAAGGACGAGGCGCATGTCAGGGCGGCGCCTCACCAGATCACGGAGCACCATAAGCAGAAAATCCGACTCCATAGAGCGCTCATGCACCTCGTCGACGAAGACATGTGTCACACCGGCGAGATCGGGCGAGTCCTCGAGGCGTCTCATGAGGATGCCCGTGGTGCAGAAGAGGAGGGCAGTGCTGGAGGACGTCTTGGAGTCGAGGCGGACAGAGTAGCCGACCGTGCCGCCGAGGGCCTCGCCTCTTTCTGCCGCTACACGGTCGGCGACGCCCATGGCGGAGATGCGCCTCGGCTGCGTGCAGATGATCGAGCAGACCGCGCCCGATGCGCACGCGGCCTCCAGAACGTACTGAGGGACCTGCGTCGTCTTCCCGCACCCCGTGTCCCCCTCTACAATGACCACCTGGTTGCCTTCGATGTCCCGAAGCAGCTGCTCGCGATATTCGAAGACTGGCAGCCCAACGCGCTGCTTGCCGAACGGGTTCGCCGCGGCAGGCCTCGGGACCCGGGCTTCGCATCGGGATTCTCGAGGCTGGTCCTTCGTGCTGCCGCCGTTGGCCACACCATTTTTCTTTGGCTTGGCCTCCTTTGCGGAAAGCTGTTCCAATTTGAGCGTTGCCCACTCGTCCTCAAAATCGTCGTAGTAGACATCGACGCTACCGTCTTCGTGCAGTTCCCAAACTGTGGCATCGAACCACTCCTCTGTGCCCTCATCCTGGTCAACATACAAGGCATGCACCTTCTGCCCAACAGCAAACGGCGCCGCGCTAGCGTCTACGAAATGATCGGCACCATCTCGTGTGCCCTGCAACGCCCGTCGAATCGCACTCTCGCTCTTCTTTGAAATGCCTGCCGCCACTGGCGCCACTTCTGCTGGTGGCGATGACGTCACGACGCGTTGCTGGGCCACATTTGCGGCTGGGGCGATCCCAAACCTTTCCGCAATAGGACGAGAACCATCATTACCGCCTCGCTTGCCGCCTTTTCCCTTTGCACCTCCTTGTCCACCCATTCCACCCTTTCCTCCTTTGTCTGCCCCCTTGTCACCTTTGCCGCCTTTACCTTTGCTGCCTTTGCCGCCTTTGCCACTTCTGCCAGCTTTTCCGCTCTTGGCGGCGCCTTTTGCGCCCGCGGCCTCAGCTCCTACCCATCGACCCGCCTGCATGACCAGGCGCCCATTCTCACCACAGGTCTTCTCATGTATGAGCAACGTCTTCTTGACTCCGAAGCAGTGGCCGCAGTTTTTGCACGTGAACCCTTGCGGATCGCCGCTCATATTGAGCAAATGGAAATTGAGGCCGTTCGGTTGCACGGAGCTGCTAGTTGCACGGAGCTGCGAAAAAAACACTCCCGACGAATTTGGATACTGCGCATGTGGAACTAAATGAGCAATTGCCGAAATCCTAAGCCACAATTGCTTGAACCAAAATTGCTAAGGGGCCCACGGGACCTTCCTGGAGCTCGCGTCAGGGACTCCTTCGCTGCTGTCCAATCCTGGTTGTCGGCCCTGTGGGGGCAAAATGGCGAACTCATCGAACGACGACTTGAATTGTTAGTAGCAGTCTGTCTCAGGAACTTCCAAGACGACCCGCTAGATCCCCGATACAGACCCAAACAAGATACTCGAAATTACACCTAGAGTCCTCCACCTCCAACATGCCAGCAGGCCCCCAACATGCCCCCGAGAAGCCACCAGAGGATCCCAAGGGATCCCCACGAGACATCTAAGATACCCCCAAGAGGCCAGCAAGAGGCCCACAAGAGGCCTCCAACAGGCCCCAAGAGAACACCCAAGACATCCCAGAAGGCTTCTACGAGGCCTCTTGTCCACGACCCAGGCAGGGTGGCAGGATGGGCCGAAGGCGACCAGATCCGCCGCCCCCTTGTGTCTGCAAATGGGTGCTTGGAGCGTTGGGATTTACTACACATGTTGGCCCTTCCAACAAATTCCCCAAATGGCCTCGGGCTCAGCCCGCCGGACACCCAGCAACCACCACAAGCCGTTGCAAAAAAACACCCATTAGCTTTCCCGCCCAATCTGCGGCGAAGATGAACCCAGGTGGCATCCAAGATCCCCAGAATGGTCTCCAAGACGGCAGATGACCTTATGAGGGTCCAAGATTGCCTCAAGATTCCTCCAAGCTGGTCCAAGACAGCCCCAGACGGCCCCAGATGTCCCCAAGACGGACCCAGAGACACCCGGTGCTGTCCACAAGGGCTGCTAGAGGCCCTTCAGGAGGCATCGATTTAAGACAACATCAAATATGGACAGCTAAGTTCTACCCAACTGGGCTGCGCCTACGAGTTCCTTACCCGCTGGCAAAACAAATCGAGGGGTGCGACATGTGAAATTCAGTTGCGGCCCCTGGGGTCCCCCGCGTTGCCCCAATGCCCAGCGATGCCTGGACTCGGAATGCCTAGCAATACCAAGTCATGCGAAGCAATGACAAGCAAAGCCATCAATACCAACAACGCCAAGCAACGCCAATCACTGCAAAGTAAAATCACTGTGCCAAACAAAAGCCACGCAATGCCAAACCATGCAAAGCAACG